ACAAAAATACAAGAATAGAATGAAATAGTAGATTTTGACGATGACACACGTAATTAACCGCAAATAATAATAATTCTTAATTTTTATTTTAAATTTTTAGATTTTAATTAGTTCTATTTTTTTGTGAAATGTATGATTAGCGCCTCATCAGAAAAATATTGTTGTCAGATAAACATTTATTTGATAAAGCACTAATCATACATTTTACGAAAAAAAATAAAACTGATTAAAATCTAAAAGTTCACTCAAATTAAAAGTGTTTCAGAAACAGATAAAACTAATTATATCTTAATATAACTTTGGCGTGATTAAAAAAATGTATTAATTCGATTGTAACCAATTTAAAAGACAAATCTTCCGTTTATTCAGGTACCTTAAATTTATACAAAAGCACATATCTTTTACATTTAAATTTGCATGGATATGTGAGGAGAGGTGAAGAGGAAAAGTTCTCGCTTAAAATGACAATAACTACAATTATTTATAAAAATGCTCTTTATGCTTATATATTTACATGTAGATCCTTTTTCTCAACAATGTCAATAGTATTAATATATTATTGTAATGGTAAATTCGCTATAAGTCCAAGATGGTCGCATGCTTTTTTTTTTAATTTAACGGGTATTACATGCTTCTCTTTGTTCCTCGAAACGAGAACGGAGGCTACTCGAGTTACATAATAACGCCAAAGAGAATTCTATTAATGTTAGCGGCTACTCGTATAATGCTCGTTCTTTTTTTTTTATTTTGTAATAATTGTCATTTAAATGTGACGAAATGCTACGGCATATTGTACGCGTACTAGGAAAGAAGTTTTCTGCTTTAGCGGTAACAGCTTTTTTTTTTACGTTTTGTCTTACAAATCTTTCATTGTCCATCTTAACTCTTCAAGCATCGCGGCTTAATAGCGATTGTAATGCATGGAATACAATGGCACGTTGCTCGATAATATCTCACAATAAAGTTCACAAAAAATCTTTTTTATCTTGACCAATCTGTATCTGAGAAACTCTACGGAAAGTATAATTTTACGAGAAGGTACAACAATAATATTTCCGGAAATTTATACACTAACTGGAAGTTAAACAGAAAATGTCACAGATATTAGTGGCGAAATTATAATATGGCATATTAAACGGATTAAGATTGAAATTTTTGAACAATCAATTGGAATTCAAAATGAACGTTCTGAAAGTACATTAAACGAGCAGAGAGAGGAGCGCTCTGTTCTGCATTTTTTCGTGCCGTTTCCAAGACGATAAATTAATTATTGTAAATAGTTATAAACTTGTACGCTAAAAATCATTGAACGAGATGAAGTTTTAGAGAAGTATAGGCAAGAAACGATTACGATTAACCTGGTTCCCTTCTCTCTGATAACTATATATATAGTCATTATTATTCGGCGATTTAACTAATTGCTGCATAGTTCGTTATAACTTGCATATATAATTGTCTTCCGACGGTCATAGCGATACTTTGCGATACTGACGATGAGCCGGGGAAAGCCGTCAACGAGATACGCGGGCAGCGACCGCTTGCAAGATAAATGCGTTACGTATGTGATAAAGTTCATAATTACGCAAAACGAGACGTCTCGTGTCGCGTTTGATCAGAGATCGATACACCGTGCGAAGTCGGTGCCAGCCCGATTGCGCGCGGCCAGAATATACATCTCTTTATTAATCAATTATAAATGTTAATTAATCAATTCTCATCTCTCTCTCTCTCTTTTTAATCTTTCCATTTTACTAACTATCGCAATTTTTCATGATTAAGCATAATATTCTTCCGTTTTTTTTTCTTTCTTTGACTCTGAAACATGTCACGCATACAAAAATGCCGCTCGACGGCCCTTCGAGAATAACGCATATGTATGTATATACGATCATATTTATATGTATTATGCGCGATTTTTTTTTTATAACGTAACAGCTACCGAAGAATCACGGATATGTACACAATTAGGGATATGCCCGGCCGCTGCGTTAAGCTCATTTTAGACGATAATTCGCGTCAGATTTTGGAATAGAATTCTTTTTATAACTTTATATGTCGTGTATTTTAACGTTTAATTTATATTTTGTATGCGTATGTATATTCTGATTCTCCAAAAGTGTATCTTGTATTACGCGGGGCGTCAGACTATAAATAGAATTCTACCCTGAATTCTGATGTGAATTGTAGATCGTTAAAGTGAGCTCCAGCATCCATTCATTCGGCCTTTCGCTCGATATCTTCGAGGTTAATCTTCCGTTCGGTTTCTATCATCCTGCCCATCTCTCGTTCTTTGCGCTTCTTCCTTTCTCCTATACTTTCTTCGTGCGGTCCGCGCTCTCGACCGACGAAGAAAGCAAGGAGCCTTTAATACTGGTACCGTTTACATTTAGGATCGGCTCCTGGGAGCTCGCTCGGTAGTGTCCTTAATCAGAGTGGTCCCAAAAATATTAAGAAGTAATCGTTTCGCGTGTGCGCGCCGCTTTTAATACAGATAGCCATCTTTTAAATGCGCCTACCGAGTTTTTTTGAAATCAGCCTCGAAGAAAGGGGATGACGGACGAAGGATTGATATATCGTCAGGTACGCCGTCGAACATGTTAGTGAAACAACATCGCGTTCTATGCATCGATAAGCTTTTATTTCTTGCTTTATCTTACGCGGGGAAAAAAATAAAATATTTTATTTATTATTTTAGAATAAATTTATCCGAAGCTAAATAATAAATGATAATAAGTAATAAAATAAAAGATATTTTATGCGTGTTGATGACAGCTATTAACGAAATGATTAAACTAAGTAATATGGAATAAATAGCGTATTGGTATCATACGCGTTTATCTTATCTGCGATTTTTCGAATTTAATGAAATAGAGATGACCTTGCATATAATCTAATGACTTACATAATAATTCATAACAAAACATCGAGGTTTGCGCGGGTCGTTTTAGTATCGAACTGAAGTCAAAATCACATAACGGAGTGAATACGTGATCGTCATTTTATTTTACTGGGAGGATTCTTTAAAATCGTGATTTTACGAGGAACAATGTTGTCCGCCGACGGCGTCCGTGCTTTCGGAGGCGAATTTGGCAAATTGCATGCAGCTCGTTGCGACATTCGGTGGCGGCACAACAACGAATGGTTACAACCGTTGCAATCGTGATGCAACGTTTGATACAGACACTGCCCTTTTACAATCGATGATTCTCTTGATACGGGGGTTTAGTCGGAGGTCCAAGGAGCGTCGAATATTAATTATAGTAATTAATTAACGTTATTAGTAGCCATTGTTCGTTACTGCTATGTACATAATGTTCCTTGAGGATGCTGCTACACTGTTGGAAAATTTGTGTCAAATATGTATAACATAAATCGTATGTCCCAAACGGTCCACTCAAATTTTTGTGTTAATTTAACACAATATGGATGTGTTAGTAACACCGATACTATGTTAAAATATTTCAACAGAAAAGAAATGTAATTCTGATCGTAATTTGAGGTTAATTATGTGTACAATTAACATAAGTTTTATGTTAAAGTTAAGATTGTAAGATAAAATCAACACTCTTTTTCTGTAAATTTTAACACATTTAATAAATACGTTTAAATTGTGTTACTTTAACATATTCTTTAAATTATTTTAATAATTCTACATTTTAAATTTGTTAAGTTCAATTAACACATAGCAGGCATATGTTAAATCTGCACATGTATGTGTTGATTATTTTACACAAAAATTTTAACAAGGACTTTTTTTAACAAACCTACAAAAATTTTCCAACAGTGTACATACATATTAGATAAATACTGTTGCGGTGTACCGAAATGTACTTTGATCTCTCGCTTCTATCATTTAGTATACGTTACACGCGGTGATGAGAGTATGTTTGGGTGATGCGCTTGCCAAGAGTTGTTGCGCGATTTCACGATTTATTAGTCTTCCGTTGTTAACATTTGAGATATTTTAATGTATCGCAGCTACTCACGTGTGTAAGATCGGAAAGTAGGAAAAAGAAGAGAGATATAGATAAATTTCCGTAATGCAGAAAGAAAATAAGAAATTACAACGGAAAAGAGAAATTGTGATATGTTGATTGAAAGGTACTTCAATAAATGCAAAAACATTGTAGGCAATGAAAAATATATTTGAAGAAAAAGACGTATGATCACTTTACCGCTTGCAATATTGTCAAATGCGTTGGTAGATATAGCGATCGTAAATTAGATGTTGGCCAGCACGTATCTGCAAAAGTGCTTTAAAACGATTGCGATCTAACGATATTATAAGTACAGTTGGTTTAGATCTTGTTTCTCTTTAGTGATCTACAAATTGGACCAATCAGATTTTTCTTTTTCTTTTCACGGCTAGCAAATAGGACAATTGCTTTCGAACTGTGCTGATCTATGCCTCTCTTCGTCGACAGAAATTACTCTATCGAATGTATGTGTAATTTTTTTTTATTTCATTCTCTTTTTACTCACTCAGGGATATATGTACGAATGTAATTGGGCTGTGTGTGTTTGTTTCTCATTTCTTGTCTCGTTTGTCTGCCTCGCCCGTTTGGTCTCTGCGGATATGTGATTACGTATTTTCGAAGAGATGGAGGATAAGGAAGGAAGTGGTATCGAAAAATATACAGAGTCTCCAGTGAGGTCGCGAAGCACGATATGGGGAAGGATATGAGCGTATAATACATCTCATATATATATATATTTTTTATAGCATTAAAAAATCTCGGCGTTTCCGTGTCGTACAATTGTACTGATTCACTTTAAAGAGTCAGTCTGCGGGGCCGTCTCGAAAAAATATAAAATATCTAGAGCGATTCGGACGTGGAAGACGGGGCAAGGCTATCTCGCGACCTCACTGTTTTGCGACGTCAGATTCCGTATTGTTGCTCATTAGTCAATTAATTAACAGTATTAGCGAAATTATTTTCCCATAAAATTAGGCTGCCGGCCCTCGAGTGTACGACGAAGCTCGTCGACGCGCGAATGCCTCGTCACGTGAAAAAATAATTAAATTAGAGCGATAGCACGTTCGGACGCGGTTTTTTTTTCCACTCCATCGACACTCCTTGGTCTCGTATTTATAATCTACGTATACATACGCTCGCTAAAACAGTCAGGAGAGAGGGACGGTAATCGAGAATGCAACACCGATCTACCCTCTAGCGTTAACAATATATAGTAAATACCATCTTTAAGTAGCAACTCCCAATATACATTACGATGATCTCTCTCATTGGATTCTATACTCAGATTCCTTATCACATGGTCGACTAGACGCAGAAAGAAATTATTAACATTAATAGAGTGAACAAACGAAGTGCGATAACAGCGATATATAACTTTATTACAGAGTTCGCGCGCGAAAGCGTATCGATGGAAAAACCTCAGGTACGACGTAAATGATAAAAATGATGCTTATTACGAATGACGAGAAGTCACGTGAAGCTGCGGGATTTCTTTTGGAGATGCGGTATGTCGATTAGACAGAGGCGATATCCGATATATTTCAAACGGAAACACGTTCAAATATAGGGAAGCACTTCCGATCTAAACGTTATGAATGTGTCGCGGATCTAGAATCACTTAGAATCGTCGTTTGGCAAAATGTTTAGAGATCGCCCGGTGTGATCTCCCTCCTTCCTTCGTTGTACAAAAATAATAAAATCAGGCGCGACCCGTGGCATTTAATTCTTTGTATTTTCGACGCGCCAGCGCGTCTCCGTCGAACGCGATAGTTACGGATCGTATCGATCCGCGTCTGATACGAATTTACTGCCACGTAACGAAATTCAGTATGATGCTTGGCTTTTGTGCGAACTTAAGGGGACTCAAGAATCGTCGCTTTGCCACTTAATGATTGTACTACGTCGTTACTTCAGATATGCTATTATACTCTTTAAAACTCTTGAAAAATCTTTGTAAATGGCGGCGTAATAATCTCCATCTCGCGGTATCGTCCGATTTTGTTTTGGGAAAAATTCAATTCGCCGAAGGTGCTTTCTGCAGCGATGGCGATTTCGTTCATTCGATATTTCGCTCAAATATCACGGAGATAATCGCGTACGTGATCGAGTTTAAGAATGTCGCGTTGTTTTTCAGACATTTATGTTTTTCAAAAAATCATTCTGTTTTTTCCTAAAGGGATTGATTCTTCCTTTTTTTCCTATTGCAGAGATATTTTTCTCGCGTCACCGCATGATCAATGATAAAAACACGCTGTCTGATATTTCTTTCCATCTTCTGCCTGATATTTCTTTAGTATCGCAATGGGATATTTAATTATTCTGATCGTACCGTGCGTTTTATCATCCGACTTAAAGACTTACAGATTTTAACTTCTTCGGGCGTACGCTTGTATTATGTAAATTTTCAACAAAGTGAAATTTTTCAATCTTCTCAAGCTCTTCTTTCAATTTGAGATCACATCTCGACAGGATCGTCGACATGGGGAACGCTTCGCAAGATCAGAACTAAATTCTGATCACGGTGAATTGAACTACGAACTTACAGATGACTTTTCCGAGTGGCGAAGATCGATGATATCGACGTCGCCCTTGACTGCCACTATGACTTCCAGCTCATTAGTTTTCTGAACGAGACCTTCTTCAGATGAATAGCGGCATTGAATAGATCGGATTCTTCCCCGTCAGAGTGAACCTCTCGTCTACGAGACATTAGCCGATAGCCTCTCATGCCTCTAGAAGTGGGGTCTGACAGTGCTTCCGAAACAGGCACCTTTTCTTTGCTGGATCCTGGCAGGGATACGGATCTGCCCACAGAAAATCCCAGTCGATCGAGGGTCGCGGGCAACAAGTTCCGTCTCGGAATCGCTTGTTCTCTTTCTCTGAGGATAAACCTGCCGAGAGTCTTCCACAAAGCCTGCGTGGTGTAAACGTTCTCGTCGTCGCTCAATACTCTCAGTTGACGATTTCCGCTTCCAACCGCGCCCGTGCCGCCCCATTCCAGCTCCTCGACCAGAACGAACTTAGCCGGGTTCTCCATTCTTCTGGCCTTTATCAGAGCATGCGCCAGCACGTCCTGCGCCGAGCTGCTTATCGGCACGCGTAGAATCGCATAAGGGATCTCCGGTGAGACGTTATAGATGCAGACCAGAAAGGTGTCCGCCTCGTCCCATGTGTGGGTGGATTGGTCCCTCGTGTTGGAGTCGTTGAGCTTTGAGTGGCCGGCCGTGCTCCTGATAGAGGCGAGCCACGCTCTACTGCTCGGATCGTCGCCTACTCGCTTCAGCAGGAAACGACCGTCCCCTTTCCACTGGTCCTGTGCCTGAAGAGGATGTTCCATAGGGTCCAGCACGCGTTGAGTTGGTAACTCTTCTCTGTCCTTTTTCTCCCATCCACGGGACACTTCCTCCACCAAGATGTACTCATCTACGTGTTCCGGCGATATCTGGGCCTTTTGCAACGCCTGTAGCATCACTTCTTGCGTAGTACTCTCCTGGGTGACCTTTAGGATGGTACCCGGCCCTTCCGGGATCACGTGGACCATTAAGAAGAACATTCGTCTTTTCAAGGTGACTCCACCCAAAGATCCGGGATCGACGGTGCTCAGTTTCTCGGGCTCTTTGCTTGACGAGAGACGCTTAGACGACTCCTTATGATCGCGGCAGCAGGTGTTGTAGTCCAAGCTTTCCTCCTCCAAGCGAGAATAAATAAAGAGCGTGGAAAGGGCTAGCGGCCTGTTCTTGCAGGATCGTAATCGTACGTGTCGGTAGCCGGGCCGTAGACACTTGAGCGGTATTACGCGTTGCGCGATCACGTGATGAGAGCTTGCCTCGATAACGCCGAAACGCAGAAAGGCGAGATCCTTGAACATCACTTGGAAGCAAAACTTCTCGTTCCAGATGGGATTCAACGCATTGTTCTGGATCACCTTCGTTTTGTGCTTCGCGCAGTCGATCGGTATACCGACCAACTCGACCTCGACGTATGTGCTGGCGACGAAGTTCGTAACCGAGACGTATTGTCCTGAGGTTATTGTGAGACTTAAATGCGCAGAATGCAGCCCATCGAACTCCTTCTCCCAAGGGTTGAATCGCCTGTCAAAACATTTACGATTGTTTAAGAAGATTTTTCGAGATAACGTACGATCGTTCAGAAATAATTTAACTATCTCTTTTCAAAATATGAAAACATTTTCTTATAGCAAAGATAAACTTTATAATATAACATAGATCAAAAGAGATCATTTCGCAACTACTGCTTATGATTTACAAATTAATCGATTTTTTAATGAACGTATACTACATAAATAATTATATTATTATTGCCGCATTTTAAAAAATTTGTAAGAAATAACAGAGTATAAATTCACCTGTACATCATATGTCCCTTGTCCCACATTACCGAGGGTTTCCTAACGTATCCGCACTGACCATTTTGCTCGAACATGGCTGAGTTCAGATTTAATCCCGCGTCATCGGTCTGATAGTTTAACGCAACCATTTGGATTCCGAAAGCCCAAAATATTACAGGATTGAAATTTGTGGAATCAATACGCATCCCTGCGGGATATGTTCGAATGAGTTGAGTCTCTGCATGGGAGAGCACGTGTGTCGCCTGTTTTCTACAGATCTTTTTCGCCGAGCTCTCATTCAGAGACGAACATTGGAAGCAGGCCGGCATTCCACGAGTGGATCTAATAACATACAAGCAAAAAAATAGATACCATCCTTTTTATCTGCAAAGCCAATATATTCGTCGATTGTGAAATATAATAAGGTTTGCCGAAATAAGGTTTTAAAAAGAAAAATGCAAAAAAAAAAAAAAGGCACGAGAATAAGATTAAGACAATCATAAGTTAGAATACATAAAGAAAACACTTAATGAGAAACTGACCTAAAGATATTATCGATGTTGCTACCGCCGCTCGCGATCGAGGCTGACGTCGAGAGCGATTGCGGCGATCCTGACGAGGAAGCTATGCTGCTGGGCCCTATACCGGCGATGCTGTGCCTCTGAACTGGTCCCGTATGCGATTGATGACGTATTTTTCCCGGCACGACTGGCATGGTATTTAGTCCGCGGAATTTAATTGCTTGGAGATAAATCACCAAGTCCGACAGCTCCTTGGCTATTTGGCTGCTCTGCTTTTGCGTCTTGTCGTCCACTCCTGGGTCTGATTTTAAACGACCATGCGGCACTTGTCCGCCACCCAGATATTTCTCGTAGCTCGAAATGGAGTTATCTGTAAATTGCAATCGCCGAGCGATTCGTTTCGTAAGTGTTTAACCAAGTGCAATTACTATGCTTCTTGCAAGCAAGTGGAAAAAAAGGGTTTGAATTTATCATTACATTAAACTCGAAGATTTATCGTTAGGATACGATGACAATATGGCACGCTGTATATTTAGGTTTAACTTGAGCTTAGGAAAAATTGAGAACATCAGAAGATCATTAATAGCGAATTCCGATATCTTTCTTGGAAGTATAAATCTGGTTGGTATAGTGGACTTTTTCCAAGCATACTTCAGTATTGATAATGTATTATTTTTACCATCGATGTTGTCATCCTCATCATCGTCCTCTTCGTCGTCTTCATCCTCGCTAAAGTATTCAACTACGGACGTGCTGCTTACGTCGGTCCGCATTTGCTTCATAGAGGATGCGCGATCCGACATAAGCATCTTCCCACGGTGACTGGGGAGGGGCGTGTGTGATAAAGGGCCGGCAGGATCAATCACTAGCTTCTTATTTTTTATCAAGATTCGGTAACGAAGCTGCGAAGGCGAAGGCAGTTGAGGATCATCACTGAAGTCGGACTCGAAGAGAAATTTCGTCACCAATTTCTCGCCAAAAACAGACTGAAACCGTGTATTTCTGCTCGTAACTTGGCTTAGGCGCAATGACAATCAATAAGAAAATAATTTATTGGATAATTAATCGGCTACCTGAAATATTTGAGCCATGCGAGCTTGCTGACTTGGCGAACAGTGATTCTCGATGGAAAGAATCACAGGATAGGGAGAACTGACAAAGGCGCTTCGATCGATCGCTTCCACGACCGAGCGAAATGGTATTTTCGTAGTGAAAGTGTGACCGTGATAAATCAGCGGGGATCCATCATCACCGTCCCAACAATCGAGCTCTACGCAGCGACACCCGGTTAAGAGCACCTGCGCAGATTTTGATTGTTATCGGTCAATAAGTTTTATTCGCGCTAATTACTTTATTTTATTCCAATGGAAATTCGTGTTGCACGTTTCACGCAAAGCAAAAGAATGTATTTTTTTAACTGATACTTTTTTTCATAACTTTGGATACATATGAAGAGAATTTTTTATTCATTTATTTTAAATCTCACAGGAATAATGCATGAGACTATTAAATAATAGCGCGTAGTTCAAAATTCGTTGCAATGGAAAGAACTTGTGACAATGCCATAGTAAAAATATTTCATGTTCCAGTTAGATGAAGTTCATTTATTACGCGAATTTATTTTTGAAAGTCGCAACGCACCTGTGAATATAGTTGCACGGAGGACTCTCCTTTGAGTTGATGCCCGGTTAAATACGTATTGTGAGAGCTGGCAATGTAATATTGCGACAGAGGCTGCTGCATCTCGGTTTCGGACGGTGTCGCATACTCGTTCGGGAAGGCATAATTGTCCTTGTCCATCATATACCGCGCAAAACCCTCGAAAGACAAACACCACTGTGTGCGAAGTGCCGGGTCCGGTTCGTGCCTCTGAAATGAGAGTAAATCCGGGCCCGTTTGATTGTGTTACGTCGCATTGTACATTGGTATGAGCGCGCGTATATAACAATGCCACCGGCGGTCGCATGAGCGTGAGGAGAAGTTGGATCTTCTATTGCCAGATAAGACAAATTGAAATCATGATTTCGGTACAACGGGATGAAAGGAAGGATCGTTTATCGTCTTCAACAAAAGCAGTTTATTCGCGAGATTGAACGCAAACTGTCGCAAACACATTAATTGCGTATGGCAATCAGCCAAAAAGCAAAATATTAGGGGATATTAATTTCCTGTATATCCGTAAAAAAAATTTGTCGGAGAGAAATAAAACCGTCGGGCAAACATTCTTCGCCACGCAGGAATCTCTGACCTCGTAAATAAATATTTACCTTGATCAGTGCTTTGATTTCATCGTCGCTCAAGTTTTCTTGTTGTCGAGACTCCAGAAATTTCGTGAGTGTCGCCAGGGTGATTACTTGGGATTTCGACGTATCCACGCCCGAGCAATTATTGATTATGCTTGCCGCCGCGATGACATCAAAGACCTGTTTCTTTTCCAGATTGCTACCCGTCTTGTATTCGTGACAGTCAATAGAGTTGTTTCTCGTCAGCAAGCCTGGCACATTAAAATGTTGATTTCTTATTTTAATTTTTAAAAAAGCAATCACAATCAAATCATAGATGGGAACCGATATAATGTGACTTTAACTTTCGATAAATATGGACAAACGTATGTTATTAGGTGGGTTATAATAAAACTCATAGTGTTGTGAATCTAATTTACTCAAAATTATTATTTAATGAATTAACTCATATATCTATATTTGAGATCTACTATCGCATTTTCACGATTAAATACAAAGATCTCGTGCATCTATATCAAATTATATAAATTTATACAGAAAATTTAATAATTATGTCAGTTTCATTCCTATCGACTTACCAATTCTTTGTGGAGTGGCGTCACTGGTCTGCCTGAGCACCGCCGGGCGAATATTAAAGTCCCTTAACGACCCGTCACTCTGGCTACGACACGTTATCGCTAATTGCCCGAAGAGTTCACGCAAATCCTTCCTGGCTCGTAAGCTGAACGATCGGAAAAGCGCGACGAATTCCACGAAGTTCAATTGCTTCTCGTATATTTCCGAAGTAGTGCGCGCTTGCACCTGCCAAGGGGCCTCTAAGCCTCCGGATATACCACCGGATCCGTTCTTGTCTTTTTCCTTGGTGACACATAACAAACTACGCATGCGTTATTGCGAGGTATAAGAAAATTTGTCGAACACAATACAAGTAATAGAGAGATTTTTCATGTCATATTTTACAGAAATTTCGAAATTTTGTTTTTACATTTTTCTTATTTTATATAGGTATATATTTTTAAGGTTTTAAATCTTAAAAATGTGTTTCTAAAATATTATGATTATTAACATCTACAAAAACGAAGTTGCGATCATTTGATCAAGAAGTCCGAAAAAATATCGTTTATTGTGCTTAAAAATTAAAAAATAAAAAGCACTTTAATTTTCTTTTTTTTTTTATATTGTCTTAAGTATATTGTCAAAAAAGATTCTTTTTACATTATATCTTTGATATTATTAGTTCTATATTAATAAAAAAAATTCTAAAATATTGTTCACGCATGATAAATATGAAAAGCTTCGGCTTTAGAAACTTTTCGGTTAAGAAAAAAGAAAGTGCTTTTAGGTTGCTCAGTTTTAGACGAGAAAACCTTAAATCCATAATCCAGATTTATGTTTCACGTAATATTCGACATGGAACTGTAAGATTTTCTATCCCGATCTATATAATTCTCGGCCTATATAAATCTTTTGCTCGAAATCGAATAGATAAAGAGAATTTGATGTCAAGTGGACTCAAGTGTGTGAGAGAATAATGTACCTTTGAAAAGCGGAATAAGGCAAGTTGGAGAGACGATCGCCGGAACCGGGTGGTGGGCTACGTGGCGGGATTCGTTCTCGGTTTGCTCTCGGTGACGCTGGTAGAATCCTCGTTAAAGACTCCCTGCTTCCCGTGATGTGACGTCGAGGTGTAGCGCACAGGCCTCCATCCGAGGTCGAGGTGTCGTGCTGTTTTACACTCAGTTCCTACGTTAAACCGAAAGAGTGTTCAATTCGGTGAACGTGGTTATATTTACGAAATAACGTACGATCTTTGCAGTGATCCACAATCTGATCTATGTTTATTATAAAAGATGCGAGATGAGTTTATGCGCACCTTGGTCAAATTGTGAATGTTGCCAATCGATTTGGTTTTTTTTCCTTTAGCATTTCGTCTACGTATAGTGCCGCTGCTCGTTGGAGACAGCGTTCCGACGCTGTCTATCGAGGTCCAGTCGCGACCGCCGAAAATGCGAATAGCATCGGCCGTCGTCGGCTGATCTATGCCCTCCATCGGCTGTTCCAAGTAAGAAAAGTATAGCTGGAGATATTTTTCTTTCAACCAGCGTGATCTACGATCTGTTAGCTGCTGTTGTCTTTTGAGGCCTCGCAATATCCAGCACAATCCCATGTACCATATTCTGAAAGCGGAGCAACGTGAATTACATAACTTTTATGTAGTTCGACAACACGCAATTTAGCAATAAATCATAAATTATTAGAGGAAATTGTTACAGCAAAATATGTAGGAAATGTGTGTTATTAATATATACTATTGCTCAATAATATATTATAAACAGATCATTGATACACTATTAATAAACCTAATTTTCTAGGGAGGGGATATATTAATGACATAGTAATTAATTTTGCACGCGGCGAATTCAAAATTTACAGCACAAAAAGTTTACAGCACAAATAACATATAGTAGATAAAAATTAATTGGAAAAAATATCCGCGAAATAATCTTGAACGTATAAACCTGATAAGATAATTTTTTCTTCCGAAAAACATGAAATTAAGAAACATATTCTTAATACCGCATATAAAGCGAAGATATATTTTTATTTTCAAATCAGATTGCACGTGACATAGAATGCGATAAATTTCGAATCATCTTCTTCTTTTTCATTCTCTGGATTATCGGTGAGGGACATTCAAAAACTAATCGCAAAGAGAACAATTCATTACGTACTTGCTAAGAGCGGGAGGGCAAAGTAGGAAGATCAGTCGATTGTCCGGAAGATTGGAGCCATACATGAGGCCGATGCAGCAGTCGGAGCCAGGTAGGCCGAATCTCTTGCAGATGCTCCTGAGATCAGCCTCTCGATCGCGGTCGCAACAGCCGATCATTATCTCCTTCACCGATCCCAGGTCGAGGTATCCCTCTTCCAAAGTGACAGAAGCGCAGTCAGCCTGCTGCTGCGTGTACCTGCCGACTAGGCCCGCTGGTATCGCGTCCTCCGGGTTCGCGGTCAGCGAAAAGTCTGTGAGAGCGGCACCGCCAACTTGTGCCGTTTTTAAGGGACTCCAAGGTGGCTTTTCCCATACGAAGGTGCCGCAAGCGCGATCGACGCGCGCGAACACCAACGCTGTCCTCGAGGCACCACCCTCACAGTCCCAATGGACCAATGTCGTGCCATGATGCAGCACCTGAAACGTGTGGATTTGAGAAATGAGTGTGTTTCTTAGAATGATAGAGAATCGAGGATGTTTGATGTTTCTTAGAATGATAAAAAAGCTTTTTTCGATTTTCCATCAGCTTTGTACAAGTAAAATTAGAAAATCGAAGTGTCTTGAAAAGGTGGTCAGAAAATTTCTCTTTAGATGAAAATGAAGGTATACCGAAGCCCGGAAATTTTGCTTTGATCTTACCGAAATTTTCTTTTTAATTTAACAGTATTTGATCGCTATGGGATTTTTTACGCATTTTTGGCAATGATTTCTTAATCTTTCTCGATCATTATATTATTATCATTACTAATGACTAAATAGTAAATAAGTAAACACGCGTCATGTTAAGTTTCTGTTAAAAAATTTTAAAGAAAAAACTTTTATTTCTATTACATTTTCGTGCAGGAAGATTTCAATTTAATATCTAGTATTTATAATCGACATTTTGTAATTTAATATATACATAAAAGCTTTTGCATTGCATACGGTATGCATTTCGCTATTGAAGTAATATCATATGTATAAATGCAAAAGAAATATATATAAACGTAACAAAAATTTACATATGTAGATAACGAATTGGATTTCGCTCGAAATATTTTTGTGGCAGTTTTTAATGCAGTGAGATCTGGATGGTCGGTTTACCGGATTACCGCGATAATATAATTGTTGAAAAAAGGAAACGGAGTAAGCGTCTGTGCTGTAAATATAAATATATTAATTTCACTGCGCATACAAGGCACTCGCTACTACGAGGTCATCCTCGCAACTGCGCCGCACGAAGTACTCCACGCTTCCACAAAGTACTAGATGCCGTGAGTGCATTTATAACGCTGATGGGACTCGTAATGCACTTATAACGACGTTTATGCGGTCTTGTCTAAGCGCGATGTACAAGTGGACATTTATTGCACGTATGCGCGAATTCGTGAATTTAGCTAGAGTTATTTATCGATGACGCAGGCAGTTGCTCGAATTCACAATTTCCTGTCACGCGTAATGTGCAGTAATCGTTCTAAAGAACGATGAAGAAGAAATATATGTTCGTTAATATTGAAATATCGAGTATTGAAATACTGACGAGAGAGTCCGATGTTCTATATATAGAATATATCTCACGTGTAATTGTCTCATTTTCGCATTGTCGCGAATAGAGAGATTGAGAGTGATTAATTTTGTGCAAATGTACGAAGTAGAGACCAAATTTCAATTCACTTTCAATTAGTTTCGATTATTCGCTGGTACTATGTATTGGCGAGCAAACGAAAAGCAGGAATTTAATTAATTTAATTAATTTACGAGATGTTAGTATGATTTCCACTCCATTTTTATTTTCATATCCACATTTGAATTATTTTTGAAGCTTCTTGTTTGCATGGTGCGCGACGTGGTTTTCTATTAAAAAATTCCACCAGCATTTTAACGTCAGAGAGCTATAGTTTTCACGATGGTTTGTCGAAGAAGTGCTAATTCCACTATATTTCTAGGCTTGACATTTGTCGTTTAATTTTTACGACGCCGACGCTTTTAATTAATGAGACTATTCTATGAATGTCTCGAAGTATTTAGCCAAGTACATGGAACAACTTAAAGCCGAATTTTTATTAACAAAAATTGAAGGCATTTTGAATTACATAACGAATTACATAAATCTTACTTTTTAATTACTCCTAAGTGAGTATTTTTAATACTATTACATTGATTTATTCTGAGAGATAATTAGAAAAGAAATGTTTAATATTCTATAAATGGTAAGAGTTATCACAAAGATCGAATTTTCGTTAAATAAAGATGAACATCGATTTATTTAAAAATTTATAAAGTTCTTGGATAAAACTAGCAATATTTCATTAATATTATTACGCTTGTATTATAGACTAATATAGACGATGGGCAAGGCTATAACACGCGCGTTATATTTGACTATACTATGTTTGCGTTCTCTGGACATTTATTGGTGCTAAATCAATTATCTTTATGAGAAACCGTCATTCACAGAGGGATTGAACTGGAAGAAGTTGTGTAACTTCTCCCCCGAAATTCTTCCGACATACCTATATTTCTCACTCGACGTACAATCAATGGATCGCGTGTTATGTATCCTCCAAGAACGTTCTGTGGTAGCAGAGAGAGAGAGATTCATGGTGTATCGATTGCGTCGGAATTTCATGATGGGAAGGATAACGAATTTTATTCGTTATGAACCATTTTTCTCCACAAATATGTTGTGTCCTATTTTTTCTCTTGCCACTCAATTAACGCTGACAATTGGTGGCTCGATTCAAAAGGATGACCTGGTTTTGCGTACTGCGTTACAACGTTTTTTCCGTCGGTTTCCTTGCTTCGTTTGCCACAGAGAGAGCGAGCGAGAGAGAGAGAGAGAAAGAGAAAGAGAAAGAGAGAGAGAGAGAGCTATCTCCTCCTCCCTTCCTCGTCTTCCCGTATATTTCTCTGTTTCTTCTCTAATTTCCACGAAGCTTGCCGGAGGTGTAGTAAGGCTAGTCCCTTTGAAATCCTTGAAATCCTTTTGACGTGTAACAAGCTACGTGCTAACGGTATCTTTTATCTCAGTGGCGCAACGCCATGGAGGTAGCGCCGCCATGACATTAATATCTCGAAATCGTCCGAGGATAAGGAGATACTTTATGTTGATACGAGTGTGCCGGTCTCGCAAAATTCTTAATGAAAAATCCTCAATCTCAATATACGTACAAGTTATACAAATGTGAGTTGTCTATGCCTTTTATGTCTCGAGCTATCAAGATTCGTGAAAATAGCAAACGCGGAGTGAAAGGCGAATATCTTTCCTGTACTTCTTTTGCGATTCATGTAGCTTAAACGCGAAACTGCAGATCTAAGGGTTTCCGGACTGCTCCCGTTTCTTGGCTACGATATCAAAGAAAAAATGCGTAGGTGTTCACTTAAATTTCAAAGGCAGCTGTGGAATTTCTTAGCAAAATAGAAATTTCTCGCTAGCGTTCGCTTGCAGGACATGACAAAAAGAGAATTTGAATCATAATATCATATCTTAAATTTTCTTATTCATCTACAAATCTCGGTTCTCAGCATCATTCAATACGTACAATTTATACGTAGCTACAATTTGCAACGATTACTTTTAACGACAATATTTTTCGAATTTTTAAACTCTCGTCATTATTTAAATGCGATATGCTACAGATTATAATATACAAAGATATTAAGACAAATTTCCGGATTTTGCGTCAGTCGTAATTACGATAACAAACACAAATGTTGTAGCATTCTTTAAATAAATGGAACTACTCTCAAGACGAAAGAACTCTCCTGAATACGGTATCGTCTTTCACCCCGCAGTACTTGAACTTTTACATCTCGAATGTTTCTTCCGTTATGATACATTAAATTCTCATTCATGTTGGAGCTTACCGACTCGAAATAGGAAAAGCATTACTCATTTTGCAATGTGGATGAAACAAGAAAGATTTGAAACTCGGATGTAAATATTCTTATGAATGCTATACATATAATTGTTTTGCATTATCTCTGTGAAAAGCAGGTTGAAAAGACATTCCTTAAATATTTACGCGTTTTACTTTATTTCTTCAAATAAATTTTGAATTGTTTATTAAATATCTTTATTTAAAGAAACATTTGTAAAAATTGTGAATCAATTATGAGATTAGAAGATTTCAAGGACGCATGTAAATGCCTTGATGGATAACAAAACTTCAATGATCGATTAACTTTAAGTAAAGTTTAATTAAGTTTAACGTATCTTTTAAACTCAACGAAAGTTTTCTTAATTGCTATGTTCTTTAATATCTACGTATAAAATGTGACGACAAAAATTTCTAAATTTCTCAAAAAATGTACATCACGAAGACTCGGATATTTTTCTAACTTGATAATAATATTCGGCCATAATCATGAGTTAGATATTACATTGATTATGTCTAAATTGCTAACGTCGAATAATGTACATTGTTGTGTGCATAGCAGAAAAATTACACATCTCTCAATGCGGCCTCGCGTTAGAATAAAAAACGTCCTGGCTTCCCATTGTGCAACAAATCCTGCGAGTCCAATATTTACGATACACTCTACGCGCAGCATCGCGATGTCACGTATGCAATTGGCAGTTTCGTTATGTGACGCAATGCCTCTCAATCCCAAAACGATCGCGACAATCTCAGACAAAATAACTGTGTTTCTCTCTCCTCTCTCTCCTCCTCCTCCTCTATGTATCTACCTATCTATTTACTCATCTCTATGTATGTGTGTTGCCAATGAATAATCCGGATGTGACATAGAGAGCGAACGTTGCGCGTTATCACAAAACGGAAATTACGTTGTGTTAGAACTTTCCTAATACTGCTAATTATGCCAAATTTAATTAAGTTTCCACACAAACATTTTCCGTGCATGGCACTCTGAACAGATTATGCGATAAGTATCGCTCTTTCTAAAACTATTACTTTTATTAATTTCAACAATACCTTTAACATCTCGAAACATTTGAATTTTAAAACTTTATCTTTTTTCCTGTATATGACAATATTGATAAGAGTTTTTTTCTTTCTTATAATAATCCGGTCAATACGAGTTATCAGCCGGCATGAAGTTTAAAAGAAGTTTTAATGATTATTTGAGTAAAATGTTTATCTTTTGCTACTCTTTAAATTGTGTTAAAGTTTTTATCTATCCGTCTTTATAAAAACTACAATAGAAGTCGCCTCCATCCTCTATCGGACATGATATAGATAACTCGTGAAAATGCCGCTTATATAATTGTCGCGTAAAATTGACGACGCAGATTCTCATTTCGATACGATATCTACATTTCCGTACGAGATGTGCATTTATCTGTAGAATGTAGCGCAAAATACCTGCAGGAGATGGAGATCCATGCCAGTGTGTGGCGCGGCAACGGGAAACAAAGCGACTCCGTGGTCGATTTTGAGCGGGTGCACGGGCTTGTAGGAGTCCAAATCAAGATGATAGTCATTCTCGTCGCATTCCTCCGCCATGTAGGTTTGCTCGATCGCGGTCGTATGAACGCTCAGGGTGCGATGAAGGGAACCGGTAGTCGCGTCTCTGCCACGAGCATGCCGATGCTTAAGAAAGAAGAGAAAGAAATATCCCTCGTTAAATTAAACCATCGAGTCATTTAGTATATTTATGCTCGCATTGAAAAAAAGAAACATCTCTAATAGACGATATCAACGCGACCTTTTTCGCTTATATAAATATAATTACATTAATATCTACGATCCCCATTGATATGTCAAAGCTCACTTTAAATCTATAATTTGCATTAGATCACAAATAGAATTTTATTTATAATTTCGTGTCATATATTTATACGTATATTTTATACGTGTATTTATATTTCTAAAATGTTTGTCTTATTACATAAAATTATAAATTGAATGCTGGCGTAAATTGTAAATCGTTTAACGTGGGTGGGTAATCGTTTAAGATGACGATAGCTATTTTAGCGAAACATAGCACTCAACGTGACATTACAGATTGTTCATTAAGATTACTCGGTCTTTACGTGGCCTTTACGATGCTTGCCGGTCGGATATCTTACCTTGTGAAAGAGCGCGACTTTGTCGAGAATGGAATTTGTATTGTGGGCTGGGGTGATGGGGTTCTCCGGTTTGTTCAAGGAGGCGCTCCTCGAACTCCATCCCGACGGCGTCTCTGTGTTACTCTCGACGGCGATCCTGGCGACCGGCGCAGAGGAAGGCACGTGTTCTTGAGGTTCGCTCTCCTTAACGCTAGCACGTGGTGACTCGCGATTTTCCTTGTACTCGGGCTCGGGCTGAAACATGCCGAGCCGACGGTACTCCTTAGGAATTATACAGTTAAGTTTATTGTGTACAGAAATTGTCTGTATAATGGAAGAGCCCCAACCTACCTTGCGCTACTGTTTCATAATTATACAGTGTAATTCAGTAGAATAAACAAAATAATAATGAAAATGCAATTTACACCATGCTCAAAATAAACGGCTTCGAATTTTATAATAATATATCTTTCTCAGACGATTGTACAAAGAATGTATAATTAAAAAAGTTACTGAGAATAAATAACCGTTAATTTATATTAAGTAGACAAAACAAAATGAATTAAATTATACTGTAGAAAATACTTGTTTTTATTAGCATATGGTGTAAAAATAATATACATACAAGAACTTATAAAAATAAATATTATAAAAAGAACTAACAATTTAGCTGGTTGCATGATTCATATATATTAAAAAAATCTGATATAATCATTGTGATTCTCGTTTATGATATTTATTTTTACAAGCTTATATATATTCCTTTTACATTATATGTTAATAAAAATGATGGGTGTCTTCTGTAGAGTATAATGTTTTCATTTATTTTATTCTATCTACTTTCATATTACTATCCACTTTCATATTACTATCCACTTTCATTAAAATAAAAGATATTTAATTTTAAAAACTTTTCTGTACAATATTTGATTTTAAAAGAAATCTATATAAATTTTTTTTATTTTATGTGAGTTTGTTATAATTAGGAAATAAAAAAAGGAAGTTATAAGGAAAATAAATTGAGACTGGTTATTGAAAAAAAATAATAATAAACGTAAAGGTTTGAAATTTTAACTGTTCAGAGTGACAATGAAATTAGCTTTCAATTCCGCATGACGTAACATGACATTAACAAACACACTACACATTACACAAACAAAAAACAAGTAAAAAGAGGGATATTGATAGGGATTGAGGGCTAATGATTCGTTTATTAAAGCGAATTTATTAAAGCATTTTGCTATCACGACATGCATGTGAAAGGGACATTTTATATGAGATTATAAAATATATGAGAATTAAAATATAAAATAAATGAAACATAAATGATATTTCACACATTATACATATAATATAAATGAAATACTATAAATTACATTATTGGAATATTTAATACGTATAAAATAAATTAATCGGTACCGTTTCCGATGTAACGTTACAGTTGATGAATCATGGAAGTCCAGAAGAAATAAAGAACTGGCAGCTGTTGTTTCGCATGTTATATCATTCTAAGCGTGCTACCTCGAAAGAATACATTGTTCGACGACTAGATGTTCATTTCGAGGATGTAGATTCGATAATCCGAGTAACGAAGTTGCCTTTGTTTCTCGAAGAGAAACTTGGCTTTCGAAATAGGAATCAATAGTTTACGGCTTACTCTCGAAATACACTCGAAACACAACCTCGGAATACACTCTCGCGTGTTCATCAACACGAACACTGGATGGCCCTTTAAGTCTCTTGATGACTGGTAGCATGTAAAGAGCCCTTTCACAAGTGTAAATCTCTCGGCAATCTCGTAAATATAAACAGCACTGAGTAAAAGTGGAAAAACGGTGGTTGGTCTTATTTTTAATTTTCTGTGAAAATTCTTTGCCGGCATGTATATACGTTTTTCACGAGATGTGGAGGATGCAATAAAAGTAATTTAATTAAATAAATCAAATGATACATTAAATGTGTAAAACTGTCCTTGGCATCCTTTCGTCTGGTTATAATTACTATCAGGAATTCGCACGTAGTACACATATAAAATACATAATTTATATTTAACGATATATATTAAAATTACATCTCTTCAGTTTTTGCGGCGAAGTACTTAAGCAAGGTTAACGCAAATTATATGTACAAGTAATCGCTCGGGAGCTTGTCTACCGATCTGTAAGCTAGAAGCGCACACCAGTAGCAAGAACTTTAATGCTTATAATTAACTGTTATCCGATAACCTTAATCTTGCATGGATATATATCGAGCGACCGTTTCACAACGCGGCGTCATAAGGTAATGCTGTTTCATTTTATCGCGCCGTGTTACCCGCCGATCGACCCACCGCCGTCGCGCGCCGTCGGGCGACATTCAAAGCCGCTAAGTCGCGCGATCCAAATTGCAAACGTGCTGAAACACATCTGCCGGCAGAATAACTCGGATAGATGCATGTTGATCGAGTTGCTCGCGCGGGTAAGAAATTATGTTCAGCTATGTTAATGTAATTTAACGCTCTCATGGAGACGGAGACACCGCGATTTGTCGCGTGATTGAATAACGATATCGCTTTTTGATAAAAAACCGAACTGCCTACAAATAAGGAAGACGGGAGAATTAACATTTGAAGGGTCGGGGACATCTTGAAGAACATATCTCATATAAAAAATTTATTTTAAGAAAGATCTAATTTTTAATAGCATTTGCTTGTTCCAAAATAGGATATTTTTAAATAAATGTTTATTACATTTCTTTAGGAAAATATTTTTTACGTTATATATACATATGTTATATAGTATACGTATTTTTTGAATTAGTTACTTTAAATCCAAAAATTTTAATCAAATCTGAGAAATAATTAGAGATATAAAATATGTAGAATGCAAGTTAAATTACTTTTAAACAGGGGAGAAACAATGTTTATCCATTTTTAAATACAACGCGAGGAGTATTTTCATAAAGAGATGATTCATAAAAATAGACATACATATATTCATGAAAATAGATATACATATATGTATATGACAATTAAAAATCTCCAAAATAATCATTTTGAATAAAATAATCTTTTTCCATTATACAATATATATAGGGCTACATATGGGGTATAAAACTGTTTCTATGTATTAATAAATTAAGCCGCGATTTTTCGTGGCTAGATAATATATATTGTCATTATAAGTCGAAAGATTTAAAAAATCTTTCAACCTAGCTCTTCTTTAATTAGTACATATATAAGTTTTTCTTTCGTATTTAATTCGCTATTGTTTCTATACGTTTGTTTATAATTTTCCTCTTGATGTTACCCACGAGTAACGATGTGGACACAGGAAATACGGCAACATAGAAATCGACACCGTAACATTTGGTTTTTCGGGGCTTAAAGCTCGAGACCATCCGCGGCGGACGTGATGCCAGACGAGCGAAGTGACTTTCGCGATGTTGCTTAACCTCGTTATCCTTCCTGCCTTTCTTCCTCCACAGAAATGTCTCCCAAAGGACGTACGTGCCGATGAGGGGACAATCAGCAACACACAGAGCGGGATAATAGAACAACGCATATCGCAAACTTGGTGTCTGACGCATCGCGGGCGCCGCGTCGATGCCGATTTGGAATTCCATTTGCGAGCCGTGACATCCGCATCGTGGATACATTCAGTTTGGTAGATTACACCTTCCAGAGGGAGGGAAAGAGAGAGAGAGAGAGAGGGGGGAGGAGGGAAATAAGAGAGACAATGCTAATGAGATATACCTACTACGCCACGTCTTCGATAGTCTCAAGGCAAAGCATATCGTTTACTTTGCTCCCGTAATGTCAATCGATGTCGAATTCATTTGAATGTAATTAACGATTAACACCCGAGACGCGAACGTACGTGAATGATCACGTCGCAGATTGATTAACCTCGCACCCTAGAAATTATACGTTCTGATAAGCTTTTCCATTAGCGGGATGCGTAACTGTGAATAATTTCTTTGAATTTACATTATAAATTTATGTATATATTTCGGAGAAATGTGAATGAGAATTTTTGTCAACGCTGATAGATTAACAACTAGATCGTATATTTTTATGGCTTTCATTCTGTCTGATTACAGTTTTATTTTATTTGCCTAACATGAGGATCGTAAATATAAATGGAACGTAAATATAAAGTGAATATAATAATGTAATATAATTTAACGTTAAATACACATATGCGATTATTGACTAATAATTAATTAAGGCTATATAAATAAGTACTATTTACTATTTAAACTAATTTAGATGACAATTTACGTCAGGATTCAAAACAGAAATATATTTTGATACATGTACAGGTATATATATTTTAATACATATTTTATTCTAAATTTTTGTCGAATATTTTTCACGTTACACGGGACATACAATTTTAAATAGAATTCTATGTTGAATTCTGACATAAATTAAGTTATTCATTTTAACAAATCTTATAAAGTTTTGTTCACACTTTTGTTCTCCTTTCTCGAAACAAACGCTTCGCATTGTGACTTTGCGATGCTGTTTCACGTGAACGGTTAATCTAATTGCAAATTCGTGGTGCTGAACACGTGCTTGGTTATATTTACGACTGGCGAGTGGCGAATATCCACTCTGCGGATTTCCTCGTACAATTTAAGTTTCATGAGTCGCTTTTAGAAACACTGATTTTCGTTGCGGTCATTCTAAACGTGCTCTTAAATATCAAATACGCTGTAAAAGGCGAGGTAGATACCGTTTCGTTTCTCGATGACGATCGTTAGCGACAAGAGCAAGTAGTTTCCGCCGGCCTACAACCATCGTAGCTGCTGGAGGCCGATAGAAACCCCTTTTCTTATCGCTTTTACAGCGCAGCCTTTGCCTTGGTGTCCTTCCCATGCTACTCTTGGTGAAACTTCGTAGAAGAATCTCAATGCGCAGTTCCCGCTCGGCGTTTGCGCTCGAAATGATCTTGTTTGAAACGCAAACTGTTTCTCTTCCACTGATTCCCCCCAGGATTGATCTGATTTCTCTCCGTCGGCTTTGATAGTTTGGTGTAATGTTGGAAACGATTATTTCATAAATAAACGATCTATTATTATAAGAATACTCTCTATGGAAGATTTCATTTTCTTGAAATTTTTAGGCATCTCATCTTAAAAGATTATTCTCGGGTAAAACTTTCGCAAACTTGGATGCGCATTTCTAAGTCTTAACATAAGCTTTTTATTTGCTCTAATTTCTTATTAGTTTCCCTTCTTTAAACGAATTCGCCGCAACGCCAAAGTTCTCGCCATCTTTTGAACATGCAAATGTTGTTAGAAGGACGGAGTAAATTTGCCCTGTCACTGACCGTCCCCTTCGTTCCCTCGATTACTCTCTACAAGCCCACTTGTGATGCGATCGGGAGAGACATGTTGGATATCACCGGTGAACTTCTTTGGCTGTTGGCCAAAACGCGAAAGCGTTCAATTACTTATGAGCTTTTTCCACGACTCAGCTTTTTCCTCGTCGTATCGTGTTCCACGCGCTTGAACATCAGATAGAGAGATAGATTTACGAAAAGTTACGTTACGCTATCCTATCTAAATAACCAGTCTTCTGCTCCCATGCACGTAGATACAGATCTCGTCTTTTATCTCACGCTGACAGTGATCTTCAGTATAGTAGACAGGATAAATATTCCAAAGTAGAGTTGAAAGAAGACCAAGAAGCGGGCGCTGATGCGTAATATTTAACAGCGCTTACGTGATCAAACATAAATGAAATGTCAATCTATTTAACAACGTGAAACAGTCAATTCTACTTTTAAGCATGTGCAAGCATAAATTCCAAGTATATACACAAAGTGCGATATCATACGAGCAGTGGTATAGCTTTTTGTATTTACCTCTATATCGAACTCGATAACTTCCTTCAGCTCGCGCAGGAAGGCTCCGAAAAATGGCACCACAGGGCATTCCGGCATCGCGAGAGCGCGAGCAAGCGCACGGTCATATTCGGAAGACAGAAGGGCGGAGGAGAGATATTCCATAACCGGTATGCGCTCGTTCACACTGAGCCAAAACGGCTTCAGCTTGTTGGACCTGCAATTCAAGTGAACATTCGTGATAGACAAGGCGGGACATACTTTTTCGGATATACTTAAGAGGTAAACCGCTGACGACGGAAATTCGCACACCTCCACTTTCAAATAATGCGCGGCAACACAGCAGGGTATTAAGGGGGTTGATATACTGTTTTAATACTTTAATACTTTTGTTATAACCAGTCATACCTTAATAATACTTTTCTTAGTAAATAATAATGGTGATTTCGGATATATTTTAATTAAACAATTACAAAACACGTGAATCGAATTTATCGGATAGGTCATAAGTCGAAGGATTAGCGGTGTTACTTAATATTCTTAGGATTTAATACTCTAATGCAGTAAATTCAAATTGGAGTAACATTCATTAATTCCTACTTAATATCTTAATTTTGTACACCAGCGTTATACAGCGGTTTACTCTGCGTACAGAATTACCAAGCTTAATTTTAACTGAGGTAAATTTCGGAAGCTGCTGATAATTAAAGGCGTGGGACTCGAATATTAAATTAATTTGAGAAGCAAGATTTTGAACAATTTCGGTATTTTGGTGGTTGAAGCATGAAAGGTCTTTCTTTGAAATAATAGTAGCAGTAATAATTTAACGTTATGAGTTCATTCGAAGTAATTTATGTTTTGTGAGCGTTTTTTATTCAAGACTAGACTTAAAGTTACACATGTTTATTCTTTCCATAGACGAAAAAATATTTTTTAATTAAAAATTTAATGTTTTTAACTATTCTCATATATTAAAATGCATGAAATCTGCAAGATAAATAATTAAGAGAAGAGGTTGAATAAATTGCAATTTGGTATCGTGAGCACAGCAAGTTTACATTTACATTTACGACAGTTTACACTTGTACGACAGTTTACATTTGTACAATTAAAAATAAAGCTGATAGTACGCCAGCATCCGTATGACAACCATGTACAAGCTTCTTGCAAACAGTTTCCTCCGTTTCGTGTACTAGCGGTCGTTAAAATCACGAAACGTTTACCGTTAGAGCGTTAATTATCTCTCTCTTTAAGTATTCTCCGTAGCGCATGCAGCCAGTTAGCTCCGAATGCTCCTGCAGGGTGGAGAATGTTTCCGGCTGTGCGGGACAGTCGGCAGGCGCAAAGGTCGTTCTGGAAACGATATTCCCGCACGAAACTTTTATCCTCTCATTCGCGGGACGAGCATAGGAGGACGGTGTGTCTAACTTTACAGTGCCGGCAATAAAAAGTATTTTATTTCTACGCCGGGCTTCCGATGGGAGCAGGCGGTAAAGGTTCTTCTTTGCGCGCCACTTACGGCGAAATTCGTTCGTCTCGCGGAGCATAAAAAAAAGCGCCTTCGCGCTTAATAACGAGTACCGCGAGAAGAACGAAAGCGATAACCGAAGGGCGGAATCAGCGAAACAGAACGTAAACCGAAATTTCCCCTGGAAGACGATATTAAGCTCGCCGAGACAATTTCCCTCGCCGTTTCAGAGTCATCGATCAAACGGGTGATACTTATGGCATTTCGATTAGCTGGTAGCCATCGATTTTAATACGTAATGCATTTTATTTGAGCTACACGTTGTCAGAGCAATACTGCGGCACAAAGATTAGTTAACAATTTTTCTGCGATATAGAGGGACAAAGAGAAGGAAGTCAATCTTGAACTTCTCAAGCGGAAGTGAAGTTCGATTCTCTTTTTCTTTCTCTTTCTCTACTTCATATTTCCATCTCTCTATGAGAATAAGTTTCTGAGATATTCTCAGAGACGTTCCCCCCATTTAAATGTGCACGTGGAACATCGATCAGAACTTCCAAGCAGATTTTCAGCGTAGTTTTCAAGTTGGCAAAAAACCCTTTAATAAAGTATTCTCCTTTAGACGCCTGATAGATTACAAAGAGCCCTTGCGCGGAAGTTTTTTTTTTACTTCTGTTCCCCCCGAGGCACAAACAATAATATTAAGTCAATCAACGTCAGTTTTTTTTTTCCAAGTGGATAGACATCAGGCGTGATTCATATTGCGTATATCGCAGCAAAGATGTAAATTAGAATTGAAATGCATTTGAGAAACTTGTGTATTTTATTCGTGAACAAATTTACAAGTGAAATCTCGGTAAACAAATTACGCTACTTTGAAACTAGCAAATGGCATGTACGGTAGCTTAGCTTGACATATTGACTGATCAAATTTCCCATGTCGTCAAGTTTTTTTTCATAGCCGCGACACGTTTTCGAAAACTTTACGAGTCATTTATTTGAGACTTTCAAAGTCCATCGTGTAGAATATCGCTTTGTATTTTATTTCTTCTTTCAGTCCGCCTACGCCGGGAGAGGATTAATTATCAAACGAGCAAGAGAACGATTTTACGGGCGAATAACGCGCGAGTCGTCGGTCGTATTCGTTGATCTTCGTGAAAATTAATGACACACATTCATTACTCGAATTACTTTTCAACGGGAGATTATCCCATTCCCTCGCGAGGCATCGAGTTGAAAGAGGTCGCAGTCCCGAAAGAACTCCTCGTGAAATAATGCGATTACGTCATTGTGAATCGTTTCGGGAAATGGGTAGAGCATCGAGCCGAGAAACATTCGTAGAATGAGCTACGTGTCGTGACACTCGATAAAACTTTCACGAGAAGCTCTTAATAAAGCAAACTACCACGGAAGCCACTCTTGCAATAAGACACGCGATAGGGATCCTACAACAAGACATATCTCTGCGTTTAATATACATTAGGCTTGTCTGAGCTTTTGCGAAAGAAAATTGCGGGTCCTGGGTTTAATTATTTTTACAAGACGTAATTGTGTTAAATATGATCAGTCCACGGACATGAAATAATTGCTGATGCATTTATATTTTGCTTTTTACCCAATTCTGTATGTTTAACGGGTCCTAAATTTTTTTAGTTTTTTTTTTGGCCATATTTCTTGACGAGTTTAAAGTTGATTCGTCTGACAATTTGATGATTTCTTACTAATTTTTACTTGGTTATGCATATTAAAATATCTCAATTACTCTTATCTCATTTTGAATTGTTTTGGCACTAAAGTTTATTTATAGGAATAAAATAATAAAGAATAAAATTTAATAACATAAATTTCTCAGTGTTAAAATCAGATTGTAATTAAAAATCCTGACATTAAAATAATTATCATTCTTTTGATTGTAAGAAATTTTCATTAAATATCTACATTTTGTTGTAATAACAGCCACAAATATATATAATTAATATAGTAATTAATTACCAATTTCCACATGTATATGGCCGATCCCTTTTATCATTAGCAAGTAGCGTACGCGTTTCTTGTGTCATGATTTGATGGTAATGCTCTGCACTGAAAAAAAAATGTGCTTGCTTTTAGTGAATATCTTTACTAAAATTAGATTTACTTAATTTAAATAAATAATGTTAAAATGTAAAACTTATTAATTTTACTATAGTAAACTAAAGTATTAAAATCAGAAAATGTTTTCTTCTTGAAACGTTTACTTGAATCAAATTCAGGTTTACTATATTACAGTGTAATAGTTATTGAAATATAGCAAATGAATTTTTAAAATACTAAATCCGAATCTTTTAATTTAAAAAATGGCACTTTAATAAATATTTGCTTAAATTCACGTTTCCAAAGTTATAAAAATAATAAATAGAGTAATTATAAGAAATAAATATTTTCTTTAGTGCAATTTATTACATTTGAGAAAACGTATACTGAAATAAAGTTAATATATTCGACAAAAAAAAGCGTACGATGCATGAGACAGTAGGATGAAGAAGCAGAAACAAGCCCGGAAGCAGGTCGTTACCGGGCATAACGTTTATGCATCAGCCATAGTAAAGGGAATCTAGTATGTTTCAATCAACTGGCGCGCGAACGTTTTCCGATTTCCTATTTGAAATCCGAGTGTTCTTGCAACATATTTAAGAGAAATATGTTCATAAATTACGTAATAACTATTGTTCACTAGCCCAATTCAAAGATTCACATACATTATCTGTAATAATGTTAATTTTGACAGGAATGTGAAAATATTGTTCAAAGCTAAGTAAATTAAACCAAAACGCACAAGAAACGGACTCACAATCGATACATTTCCGATGGCTTCAGACTTTAAAGAAGTGTAAACATTAGTTACGCTGATTTTAATTTAAACGATGCACTTGACATCGAACAAGAGACAAAGCTATCGAAATTTAACGAAGATAATATTCAGAGAGAGCAATTAGTGTTTCACTCCTCGTAAGTCAAATTCGCGTATAGATCGCTGTTTGAAGGACACTTATTCGACTCTAATAACCATCCTTCTTTTGAGATGATAGCATCTCCACGGAAAATCTCTACAGTCGAATCCTGAATGCCATCGTCTGGAAGCCTGACAAATGGGCAAAGCATCTTTGATCTCTCGCTCGTTGCAAATTCCAGATACGCGGCCGCGAAAATGTCAAAGATCTTAGACGTTCGGGAAGTATTGTTATTTTCCAGAGAAATTATTTTAAATTTATAACGTCAAAATTGGATCTTGTCCAATGAGAGGTCTAATGCAGAGGATACGTTTGAAGAGGTTGATATTTATTGTCGAACAGTCTTCGATTTTTTACTAAAGAGGACTAAATGTTTCCTCGGCTGCCGCTCGGGATACGGAATCCCACGCAAAGAAATCCTCTTGTGTAATCGTATTAAGTACAGTTTGATCCGATTCTCGTAGATATCGCAAAGTTTTTATCGATAAAAGTTCAAAGACTTAACATCATATTCGATTACGTGACTATCGTGGCTATCTTACTTTACCTTAATAAAACTCACTTGTCTTGATAAAAAGACGTATGTTTTAACAAACTTAAAGTCAATCAAATAATTAACAAATAATATTAAAATTAAATTAAAAATGAAATTTTTTTTACCGAAACGTAGATATTTCTAAAGATAGTACCTATTGCGATGAGAATATCTCGCTTAAATTTTTTTATATTCTTTTATACTTGATTAATTAATCATGTATAATTTTATGCTTAATTGATTACCTTTGAATATCGTAATTTTTAGATAATGAAACGAGTATTCAAATTTTCTTGTGCCAATACTTATACATATAATTGAATACTTTTACGGTTAAGATTAAACCACAATACAAAAAGAAGTGTCAGAATTGCAATACAAGTATATTTTTTAATTATTTTTATCGCGACGTTGAAAACTCTGCATATATTTTCTAAAAGAATGTGTAGATTTAACTATAATTTTGAACTTTCTAGAGTGCAATTTTATAATTAAGTAAAGTATTACGTCTAAAGACATAAATTTAAAAAAACAATTCTTACTTGGTACTAAATTATATAGAGATTATCTGTAATTTTATACTGTTGACTTTTTCTTGAATTCGTTTGCATGTTATTAATCTTGTTTTATGCAAGAAATAATTTTTCTCGCAAGAGGTGAGAAAGTGTTTCATTCCAAGGATATTTAATTCCTGTTTGCGAGGATAAACCACTTTGGTTGCACTTTTAATGGGTTTTATCTGACTTTGCGCGAATGGTCAACAATCATCGCGACAAAACAAACTATAAGTACAAAGTTTTTTAATTGTTAGTTCGTGGTCGATCGAAGATACTTTTCAAGTTAAACATTCGTTATTTCTCACTGTTGGAGAGTTTTCATTCATAGTTTTCATTTATACAGCGGCAAAGTTCTACGTACGTATACAGATATTCAAAAAGCTACCTTTTGCGTTCGGTATAATAAATCCGAATAAAGCTCGAGCTCCATTGTCTAAATGTGGAGAAATATAATTTCAAGAGTCCTTTATTCCAATAGATGAAGATTAATTGAGCTAGCACGACCTTGGAAGTCGCAACATCATGCAACAAACACGAGGAAAGTTTCAAGGAAGCCTTGAGTTCGGATTAGTGTCGCGATCTCATTGGGGGATTATATGTTTCGCAGCTCTCTGGTGCGCGAGACAATATCCTCGTAATTCGTATAAATTTCTAATTTTCTTCATTTGAAATTTATTCAAGTTACAAATTTACAAGACAGTATACATATAATAAAGTTGCCGAATCATTAATGACTTGACGCTATCGTGTGAAAGTTTTACACGTGCAAATTAAGAATACACAGTTAGCTTGTTCAATGAGAGTGATGAGCAGTTTGTTTGAGTTCTCTGGTAATCCTAATTCATGTTAATCCGAGAGATTAGCCGATTATATAATTATATGATATGAAATTATAGTTACGCGTACACACAGAGGCGGCGGCGACGACGCGACGGCGCGGCGGCAGCGCGGCTAAGTCTCTAATCCGATCGAAACTCGAGACCGACGGGATGCGTGCTGCGGTCGTCTTTCGTAATAATCTATCGCTGCCGACAGCAACTTTGCCCCGCGGTTAGATCCTTACGGTGGATGAAGATGGATGGGATTTCGTAATTTTGCGACCGGGCCAAGAAATTGTATTACGACTTTCGTACTTGGCCCGAAACAATGCGGGCTTAGCTGCCTGACTTTACGGACAGTAATAAAGCGAGTGCGTTGCAGGAGGTGGGAGGCGGCAATTTGAGGATTGACCCTTTAAGTATATAGGGGACTTAGCACCGTCATTCACGTTTACGACAAACATTATGGGTACTTACTTTAAACCGGCAATTATCTCCATGACTGAATTAAAGTTTCCGGTATTCCAACAGGTTAGCGCGACGCGTAGAAGGCAGGACAGCACTGCCTGCCGTTCTTCTACCGTGGCACCGCTGTTGATCGCGTGGGTGACCCATGAGCTTACCTGATTAACAAACATGATAATGATTATCTTATTTGCATCGTGTCCCACTGTACTTTACGTACAACAACTAGGACGCGAATTTCGATGTCGTTGAACTGGACGTCACAATGCAGGGGAGAGTGGGGTAACTGCGAACACGGGGCGAACGCGAACGATTACTATTGTAGTATATTAGAGTATTCTCCCACTTCTCACACTAGCGATAGTCCGATATGCGCTTGTCAGTGGTACGAATACGAGAAGTGGAAGAATATCGCTACTTTAATATACTACAATAGTATCGTCCGCGTTTACCCCGTGTCCGTAGTTACCCTACTATCCCCTATGTTTCCGACAAGTCAACATTTATGTGGCATTTATTTTTGTAATAACACCGTAATTTATTTCGGAATGATTCGCGCATCATTTTTTCGAGTTAGTACAAACAAGCTTATTATTAATTATGAGTAATTATATATTAATTATGAGTATTATTAATTATGAATATTATTAATTATGAGTAATTTCCGACATCGAAAGTTTGGAATTTTGAGAACTTGTCAAATGCGAATGCATATATATTTAGTGACGCAAAAATGACACGCGAAGTATATCATTGGCGATAATTGAAACATTAATTTTAGTCTGTGATCTTTATTGTAATTTTTATGTATCGTATAAGAAATTAAAAGTTATCGCGTTGTAAGGAAGTCACGGAACATTGCATTTATCCGCGAGAAATGTCCAGAATTTTCCAGCGGCTCTCTATTCCGAGGCTTTTGTTTAGCACGGTGATAAAGAGAACAACGTGGAAAGCTTAGGGATGGAGAAACCAACGTTTCCAACCTTGAGCGAGGATTTAGAGTGGGAAATGGCAGTGGGGACGGGCGGAAACGAGTAAGCGAGGTCAGGTGATATCCGTACGCGTGTGAATATACATGTATACGTGTATATACGTGTGTATGAGTGAAGTGGGTGAAAGTGTCTGGCGAAAACGTACGGAAAGCCGCTGGAGAAGTGGATACCTCATTAAAAGCGGCTGATGAGTGTTTCCGCGAGGCAGAAGACCGAGGGGGGATTCTTGGCGCAGAGCGCTTTTCCTCCGCGCGATTGTTGATTCGCGTCTATTACTACCCTCGTGGTACAGTGCCATTTTTTTTCTTATTTACGTGTCAAAATAATAATATCGCTTCGCTGATTAGAAACCACAGTTTACGGGATTCTTCCGCGGCATTTCTTATAATCAAAAGGCACATCTGCGTGCTGTTGAAAAATGCGAATACAGGGAGGGAGAATGTACCTCATTAAAACGATCGATGAGAATCTGCACGGTGGAGTACACCGTGCCAACAGGCCAGGTCGATTCGTCCTCGGTTTGGGTCGAGCTGTTGGTGGTGCTGGGGTTGCTGCAGCTGCGACTCGGCGACGGGGGTGGCCTGGCAGGTGGTTTCTGCAACGCGATCTGATCTTGCTCCACGTGCCTTAGGTACTCGCTCGGTGGTACCTGGTAGAATAGCTGGTACTCGCTTTCCGTCAACCTGAGCGCCACCTCCTCGGGGAAGTGCAGCAGCTTATGCAGATCCTCCAGCTCCTCAGAGCTCCGAGGCGGCTGCGGCTGCGGCCGCTTCTCCAGCTCTGAAAATGTTCATTAAACGCGTCCTTACTTCTTTGCATATTCATGATGTGACATGAAGAAAGAGAAAGGGATAGAGTGTGTGCGTGTATATATGTGTGTGAGATCAATACAGCTTTATCAAAGACAGAATGAGTATTATTCATTGTCATTATCATCAATTTTATTATACTCGTATTATCATGTCCTAATAATATTAAAATTAAAAATTTTCTAGTTTATTAAAATTTTACATAGACTTTAAAGTTTTCTGAAGTTTGTTAAAGTTTAATATACTTTGAAGTTTCTTAAAGTTTGTTAAAGTTTTGGTATTAGACATATTATTATGTTCTATATATTATATAGATCTTATTTATACGTGTTTAACGTTGCATAGCATTTTTTTTTAATCTCACGCGATGTAATGTATTTCATACAGGTTTAATCAAGAAAGAGGTTTAAGTAAGGAAAAATTCTTAATCGATACTTTAATATGATAATGGCGTTATTAAAGGATTACAAGTTTAATTTCAGTATTTAATGATATCCCATAAGACAGATAATCACAAGGAAAATGAAAAAAATTATATTATATTAAAAATTAATATAAAAGAGGAGCGTAAAGAAGTAAAAGATGGAAAAAGAGACGTTTGCTAAAAAGCTCGAAAAAGCTTTTCTAAAGTAATTTCGCGACTCCTTTATACACGAAGTCATTTACAGTATCCATTATTATACTGTACTCTATCAAAAGCGTCATATAGGTACAATGTTAGTCGTAATAAATATTACCTAACAATATATGTCTCGACATATACACTCTTCGGTTGCGAATTAATTGTCGACAAATGCAAAAGCGTTGTTTGTCGATTATTTGATTTTTTGACTAATTAATATCGTGGAACAACTAATAACGTATTTGTATATTTATCTGTACAGGTAAAAAAATTTTGCAGGTCTGAGTACAAAAATTGATAATTTAACTTTGACAATTACGGAAATATATATTTCACAGAAATATTCATTCTCTCTCTCCTCTTATTTGTTCGTGACACGTCGCAGTTACTTTCAATATACGATTGTATCAAAATTTATACGTAAAACGCGCGCTGCAATCAGGTCGTGCCTAATGAACCACGATAATCTTCATATTCAATTACATTTGAATTCGATATTAGTACAATATTTATTAAATCGCCCGAATTATGATTTAAATATGCGCAAATCCGAAATGAAGTTTACAGATGATTAATGATGTTGCATTTCACTCAATTTATATTTCGCGCGAAGCATATTTCGCGATCGTGCGTTTGACGATCGTGTCGCCAGCGATTGACGTTTCGAGCGTGTCAGTTTGCGAAAGAAACACAGCGCAATTTTTGCCCATCGTTTAACATTTGCCGCGCGGAAAGGTCAGCTCGGCGATGGTTTTTTCGCTGGTGCGAACGATGCACGAAATTCAACGCGACCGTCGAATAAAAGCGCCTTTTAGGACTCCGATGAATAATTCCGTGCCGCGGGTATCGTTGATACTGAAGTAAAAACACACAGTTCACGATATTTTGTATTTCGACACCCGGTACGAAGCACTAACGACTGTGAAATATAAGCCAAAAAGACATTACGCGCCGTTTGCGTGATCGACGAAGTTTAGAAAGTTTAGAAATTGCAGATACAGATATTATTAGTAAATATTAAATCGCTCAAAATTGCTAAAAAAAAAAGAAGTAAATACTTGACATAAATGATATATCTTTTCCATCAGAGACCAAATATTCTATTTGTAGGATACTGCAAAAATTAAGAAAAACTGCAAAAAGATGAGAAACGTACGCGCCGAAAAATTGCCAACAACTTTTAAACCTGACCCAGTTTCCCTCAGAGACGATTAAGAATTATGCTGCCTCTCGTTAGAATCGAGTACCGACATAATGCGTGCTTAGAGACGGCGCAAAATTATGCGAGTGCATTCATTCGTAGGATGACATTCGTGGGATGCCGCGGAATAATTCGAGATATTTCGAATATTGCGAGCTTCGTCGTACTTGCCTCTGGCAGCAGAATAATATGCACATGTGCGTTATATATTCTTTTTCTCCCCCCTCCTTCTCGTCTCGCTGGTAGTTATTTTTATTGTACTTATAACAATCATCCCCTATGCATGCTTTGTTGAACTGAAAAATTACTTTCGGATCGCCGCATGGTTTTTCTCTTTTCGTGTAGCGTGAAAAGCATTTTTTCGAGTTGCTTGTCTTTCACGTTATTCGGAAAAATAATTAAAAAAAAAAAAGAATTTTGTTCGTTCACGACCATAGAGATATAAGAATAGAGTGCGCAAGCGAGCTGAAAAGGCGATAGAGGAATAGAAAGAGAACGCTGCATATGGGCCCCTGCTGTCTTTGTCTATGCGCGCATGTGCAGTGATGTGCAGGTCATGAAAGATTGTACCTCGGTATTCTCGATGTTTTATCTCGTGATTTCAAAGAATACGAATGCAAAATAATAAGCTCACGATTTTCAGTGGACAATAACAAAACTGTATACTTTTATAAATATTTAATAATGTGCATTTGATATTATATTGTTTGTAGTAAAATTTTTATTTTTTTATTTTTTTATATTTTATTTCTTTGTGTTAAATAATAAGACTGATTTAAAAGATTTAATTTTTGTGTTAAAAGAATTTATTTTTTGTGTTTAAAAAATTTAATTTTTGTGTTAAATAATAAAAGACTGAATAGGATTCTATTCTATTCTATGATTAACATTGTATGAACAACATGTAATAAATTTTGTTTTATTATTATATATATTGAGTATATTTATATACAATTCCATATTCAATTCCATATTCAAAAAAAAGTAATATTTTATGGTAATACTACAATATGTACTTTGCTGTAATAATTTGGTAATTTTGGGAATTATTATTTAAGGATATATTTTCAAAGGGGTTCAAGGGGTTAGAACATAAATGCGTTATTATAGGTTATATCTCTACATGCGTTATAGACACTGAGCAGCGCAAAGACGCATGCGTGCATAGACAAAGACAGCAGGGGCCCATATGCAGCGTTCTCTTTCTATTCCTATATCGCAGTCTCTTACGTGCGAGCATATGACTCGCGCACTCTATTCTTATATCTCTATGTTCACGACAGGTTGTGCTTCGGTATAAGCACCACGCCTTCGGCGAAATTGAAACGTGAGCTGGGGTAATATAACCGTGCGGAGTACGAGACGGAAAATACAGGACAAAATTTCACATTCGTCGATATAGGTATCTCGTTAGTTTAAGCGCGAATGTAAGCGGAATCTAATATCCGCGCAGCTAATTTGCGCCCGGTGTGCCGGCGAACAAAATGAGGAAAAAGACTTTCATCGCGTAAAGCGTCCCTTAAAGCTGTACGGTCCCATTGAAATTTCCCATTGATAATGAACGCGATGCGCGTAACGTAAACGGATGTTACAAGTCAAAAGAGATCTTGGCTCTTCAGAAAATTTGAATGCCGAATATTCAAAAGTAACGCTTCATTTCGACATCGAGCTCCATTCTCTCGCTCCTTTCTTTTCAGGATCAAGGAGCAAAACTATTCAATGTGCATCCTTTACGAGTGCGTCTCGCAAATATTCCGTAATTACTCCGGGCGGAATTTATGACGCAAAGCTTACCGAGATAAGTAGGACGCCGCCGCCGCCGGACGCGGTTCTCTCTACCGTAACGTTTCTAACCCACGGGATGCAATTTCTCGTTGCAATGTTTGCGGCGTGCATACATCTTAAACGGAGTAATTGCCGATATCGCGATACACCGTTCTTGTTTCTGCGCGCATTGCTCTTATGCAGGGCGATTATCACGTTAATACATTGCGCGCGGGATGGACTCGGGTCCGCGTGTACACGCTCGTCCATCAACGTCTTCGGGCAAACGGTTCGCTAAGGATCTTAAGCCACCGTGCAAACACACACCGCGTGTGGACAGAGCGGCCGGTTAAACCCTGGCGTGCCCCGGCGTGTTCGCAGTCAATTGGCGCACCTTATCAGATAGTAGCGCGATAACCCGATGAAGAGATTAATCAACATATCAGATCATATGAACACAAACGGCTCCTACATAATCGCAGCGTACAGCGATATCTTGTTTGTGAACCAATCGCGTCAAATTTAACGATACAACGTCCACATTTCTGCAGTTCCACATGTAGCGTGTACCATTGAAAACTTCGTCAACAAAACACAGCCTATAACATGTACCCTTATCAACATGATGTACCGCCGACGATACTATTTCGCCGACGATGTTTGCATTCCTTCTACTATCGCGGGAATCGATTCTGTGTGACAAACATTCCAGTATCCCAAATATAGACTGACGTATGATATATGATATGACATGTACAGGGAACATAAAGCTTCTAAAGGAAGTTCTTGCTTCTTTTAGTGACTTTGCCCGCTATTAAATGGACAGAATTTACGCGCCTAACCATTTACATTGATACAGTTATAATAAGATACTTCATTACGATACGTTTTTATGCTTGCTAACAATGAGATAAAAATTTGAATTATACATGTTTTCCAATTTAGGATAACATTGAAAAATGTGTACCTAACTCGACGAGTTTGAAAAATTTGGAAATGTGTGTGACAATGCATAGCTTCGACAAATGCTTACCTTATCAGGTGATGGTGCGGCCACGTGGGGTGGAGGAAGTGGAAGTGGCTGGGTCCGTTGCCGTCGACGGGGATTAGAGAGCGGCCTAGCTCGCTGCTCCGTGAAATCGCCGGGGCCCGCCGGTGGAATTAGTCCGACGACCAGGCCGGGTGATCCCCGCGTAGTTCCGCGGTCTGCATCAAGACGGCTCCATCGATGTAGAATCAATCGAGAAGCCCTTCTCACGCCCTCCTCCACCGAGCTGCTTCCTCCGTTGTCGTCGTCTCCTGACGTTCTCCTCCTCAGGCCTGGCAACGCGCTGATCGCGATCTGCGAAAGAGAGGAAAAAAAATATATAAGAGGGGCTTGA